CTTCTTCTTCTTCTTCTTCTTCTTCTTCTTCTTTTCTTCTTCTTCTTCTTCTTCTTTTCTTCTTCTTCTTCTTCTTCTTCTTCTTCTTCTGCAAAACTTGATGGTCAAAGTCTGGAGTTATAACTTAAAAAAAAAGAAATGTCGACGTGCAATTAGTTTTTGCCATAAGAGAAGAAGTCCGGAGTTGTAATAAGTTATTAAAAATAAAAAAGAGGTGCAATGCTCGTTAATTTGCTTCAAGCCTTTCGGAATAGTGTAAACTGCACTGCACGTAGCTCCGTGCAATCTACCATATTCCTAAAGGCTTGAAGCTAAGCAACGTGAGCATTGAGCCTCTTCTTCATCGTCTCTGCACTCAGGGCTTATAAACCGCTCCTCGTCCCTCTCTCTTGGCGAGGTGGGACTAAAAACAGCTTACTAAGAAACTGTAGTACTGGTCACCCTTTCATACCGGTTGGAGCCACCACCCGGTACTAAAGCTGGTGCGCAGCCTGCACAAAATTTAATTAGTGTCATTTAGCTCAAAACAAATCATTAAATGCATGAAAAATATCAAATGAAGGCAGAAATGGTTGAAAGTTGATGGCGTCGCTTTGAATGATGCATACTGAATACACAAAAAGTCTGGAGTTGTAATAAGTTTTAAAAAATGAAATGCCTTTGTAACAGATGAGTTTAATTTCGTCAGAAACCTGAATACTTCGAAAGAGATTGTCCAGTTTTTGTAAACGAAGTGCATCCAGTTTTTGCCGTAACCCTCTCTACTTTTTTGAACAATCTATGTGGGTGAAATGATGATACCATGCCAAGTTCCAACTTTTTCAGGGTTCATTTGTAGTGTTTTTCAATTTCCAGGTCATTTAGTTCTCAAAACAAATCATTGAATGCATGAAAAATAGCAAATGAAGGCAGAAATGGTTGAAAGTTGATGGCGTCGCTTTGAATGGTGCATACTGAACGCAAAAAATATAAGAGCATTTACATCATGATCTTATATTTCTTTACAGTCTAAACTGTCAATATGATCTTATAACATCAAAAATACTTTGATCATCAATGATCTTTGTGTGTACAATCTGAATTGTCAATATGAGTCATCAACGATTTATAAACCGATGAAGACTCATATTGCGGCCACAAATTTTACACATAAAGTTCAATGAAGACCAACTGCTTGTGATAGTTTGAGAAATAACATATTTAAGATGGTAAAAGGCTTGTTAGGGGAGCGAGGTGGGACTAAAAACAGCTTGCCATAACCTCATTATACCGGTTCGTGGTACGAACCGGCACTAAATGGTGATGGTGGGGCCATAGCCTGACCACAGGCTGACACAGCCCCGTTAGCACCGGTTCGTGGCATGAACCGGTACTAAAGGTTCGCCACGAACCGGTGCTATTGATCGCCGCCACGAACCGGTGCTATTGTACACATTAATGCCGGCTGAAATTCAAACCGGCACTATTGTGCTTCACGTTTGACCCTTTTTCTACTAATGTCTCTCTTCACTCTTGTGGGCTTGTGGCGGCAGGGCGTCGGCGGCGGCAGAGGTCAGCCTCCAACCTCACTCTCTTTTTTCCCTCGGACCTCTCGCATTTTCTGTATCGCGGCAGATCCGGCACGATGTGCACGAGTGCGGCTAGGGACGCGGCGGTGCGGTGGATTTAGGGTACCAGCAGTCCGGTGGATTTGGGAGCGCGGCGGTCTGGCGGATTTTGGGGGCGAGGATATGAGTGGAAGCAGGCGCGACGACCTGAAGGCTGCGTGCGCGCATGCGGACGGCGTGCTTGATGTGCATGCCGCCGTGCCTGCTTGCTGTGTGTGTGCTGCCGGCGTTGTGTTCCGGCGTGCGTGCTGGCTGTGTAGACGTAGTGTCCTTGCGTCTTTGTAGCTTGTAGCCTTGTACTGACCTGTTTCATCTCCATTGCACAAGCTTGACAGCAACAAAGGAGCAGCAATCTGCAATCGAAACCTATCCTTCGAGTCTCTATCTTTCTGGAGGCTCCCATGGCGCTGTGGACTGGGCTGAGTCAGGCGGCCACGGTGGTGCAGCTGGTCAGCGCGGACGTCGGCGGCCTCATCTCCATGATCGTGCAGGCCGCTCTGACGGCCCGGCAGAACAGGTCCGAGTGCGAGCAGCTCGCGCGTCGGGCCCTCATGATCGCGCAGCTGCTGCGGCACGTGCAGGAGCCAGAGGCGGCGCAGCCGCTGGCCGGACTGGGCGATGCTCTCCGGAACGCCCACGAGCTCGTCGTGTCGTGCAAAGGGCGGAGCGCGGCATACCAGTTCGTCATGGCCAGCAGGACAGCCGAAAAGTTCAGGGAGGTGCGGAGCAAGATAGACTCCTACCTCATCCTCTTCCTGGTGATCAGCCACATTGGCATCACACGGCGCCTTGAACGAATCTACAACATCCTTGTCACAGATGACTCCACCAGAGGTCAACCATCGTCTCCACTTCTACAGCTGCAGGTATGCACATAAAAATTGAACAATCAGATGATGCAAAATTTGATTTGTATGTTCCGTATGGACGGTACTTGCTCACTGCTCATTTGTGGAGGCAAATCCTGTACGACCCGCTTGTGAGAGAGCACATCATGAGGGTGACCCACCTGGCAGCCTCCCCATGCAGCCGGGTCGCACGTACGACTCGGTCGTATAGGATTATTTTGCCTCATTTGTGGTCTCCTTTTCAGGAGTCTACAGGGGTTCATCTGGTGAGTAGACTGATGGAGGTTCAGCTTACTCATCAGCCCGATCAGTTGTGTTGGAAGCTTACTAAATTTGGTGAATTCACAGCCAAGTCGATGTACATTGATGTCATCAACTCTAGTGTTATTGTTAGTTCCAAAAATGTCTGAAAAGATAAGGTTTCTCTGAAAATCAAAGTGTTTATGTGGTTGTACAAGTCGTTCTAACAAAAGATAATTTGATTAAGCGCAACTGGACAGGTTCTACTAGGTGTAGTTTCTGTGACCGGGATGAAACTATCAAGCATCTTTTCTTTGATGGCCCATTGGCGAGGGTGTTGTGGCGCTCGGTGCAAATTGCATTTAACATTGCTCCTCCGAATTCGGTCAGGTCGTTTTTTGGAACGTGGCTTGTTGGTATAGAGGCCGAAACAGCTAGACAAATTCGAGTAGAAGGATGTGCGTTGTTATGGGCAATTTGAAACTGCAGAAATGATTTGGCTTTTAATAAAACAACAACTATTCATTTTTTGCAGGTTTTATTCGGGGCTACTGCGCTAATTCGTATGTGGTCATTACTCACTCCGACGGAGGCCAGGGCGCGTTTGGTTACTGGATCTGTCCAGTGGAAGATGGTAGCGCGGGATATTTTAAACCAGTTTGGATGACAGTCATGTAATAGGATATGCGATTAGTTTACCTATCTCTCTTTATTATGCCAGCCAGTTGTGGCTTTTGGGCCTTGTTTTATTTTGCTAGCTCTTTGTGAGCCAGCCTCCTTTCTTGCAGCACATTGCAAGACCTTATTAAACTACTTTATTTATTTATAAATATGGCCGTATGCATCGCTCTGATGCAGAGGCCGATGAGTCCCCTTTTTCGAAAAAAAAGAGTCTACAGGGGTGGCGCAAGGGGTACTGCCACTTGGAACCCAAGAATTCACATTGGCGGAGATCCTGGCTGCCACCAATAACTTCGCCCCTGAAAGGAATTCCCCCCTGAAACTAAGGTTGGTCACGACAGCTTTGGAATGGTGTACAGGGGCAGGCTTCACGATGGGCAAAAGGTGGCCATCAAGTGCTTTGACGTGCTGTGGTGGCAGTCACAGTTGCGGTCACAATCAGAGAAGGAGTTCCGCACGGAGCTCGACCTACTATCACGGCTCCGACACAAACACATCGTCCACCTCCTTGGATCGTGTGTGACTTTGAGCAAGGATAAGCACCAGTTAACCATCCCGCAAAAGGGAAAAAAGGTCTGCTAACAAGGAGGAGAAAGGAGCCGAAAGAGCCAAAAGAACCTGAGGGGCTGATCGTTTACGAGTACATGGAGAACGGCACGCTCTTCGACCACCTGCACACCGACGAGGGCTCCTCCAAACTGTCGCCGGTGACGATGTCCTCGAAGATGCGCATCAACTCGCTCCTCGATGTGTCACACGCCATCGAGCACCTGCACTGTCATGCCAACCCGCCGATCATCCACCGTGATACCAAGTCGGCTAACATCCTTTTCGACGAGAGCTGGGTGCCGCATTTGTTAGACTTTGGATTGTCGGTCACCTGGGACATGCGGAGTGAGGAGTCGTCTTGGGGCATCCGAGTTAGGACTTGGGGTTGGAGGTCCCCCTTGCAGGCACAATGGGGTACATCGACCTTGAGTATGCCCACACAGGTCGTGTGAAGTCAGTGAGCGATGTGTACGGCCTGGGTGTGTTGATGGTTGAGGTTCTGATAGGGAAAAGGGTGTTTTCCCAAGCAGAGGAGGAGATGAATAGAGATCTGGCATCCTTTGCACTACCGATGATTGAGGCCGGTAATATTGAGGGGATGTTGGATAGGCGACCTGTACCGTAGCCAACGCCATGGCAGCTGCACACATTGAAGCACATGGCGCAGATTGCAGGATGTTGCGTGAAGTTTGCCGGGAAGGACCGGCCCACCTTATCAGGCATCGTTGCCAACCTCGAGAAGGCGTGCGAGTTGATCTGCAGAGATGAGCCAGATTCAGTTGACAAGTGTGGTTTGTGTCCCTTCCTTGAAAAGGTTGACGACTCACGGGACTCTCCACATGCCAGGAACGTGCCATCAGCATGCTACTATTCTGATCTGATACACTACAGACTAACTGAATTTTGTTCACATTAATGAATTCGGTCATGTCCATCCACTGATGAAAGGGGCTCACTGCTCATTTTGTGGTCTCTTCCTTAATTAGGAACCTGAGGTGTTGGAGGATGGGCCTTGACACGAATCGTCCAAGGTGCATTATACCGTGGCAGGCTTCACGGCCGGCGCCGAGTGGCCGTCAATCACCTTAACCACCCGAGGAGCATCATGTTACCATGCGTAGGTAATCTCCTGGTTCTGGTGATCTGCAGGCTTAAGACAGAGCATGGGATGGACTCATGCTATTATGTATAGTTTGCTTCTACACCACCAACCCTGCTTTTCCTTTTTGAAGCCCAGAATTGTTGTACGGTATTTTCATACAGTAATTAAACAAAGTTCATCTGTACAAATGAAGCAAAATACAAGAAAGGTTTATCCAATACCATCCCTAGGTAACATAGAAATCAGAGTAAGAGATGATAATAAAGTTGGTAGTATGGACAAAGAATG